AAAGGTATGTGGCGGGCGGGTTGTTTCCCGGTATTGTCCCCTCCTCCCCTCTCCCAACTAGTAATGCGAGCCTTGTTGAAGTCTCGGCGAGAGCAGCGAGGGGCATAACTCCTCGGTATGTCTGGCGCGCAGGGCGTGGCCGGGCGGGGCAGGGCGGGGCGGGGCAGGGCTACCCCGCCTGGGAACCTTAACGCCCGCCACCCCTCGAGTCTTTCATGGTCTGCCTCTCCTCTCAAACGACCGCATCGTCTCTCTTTCTCTCTCTCTCTCGCTGGCTGCTGTTGTTGTTTGCGACTTCCGAGGAGGAGGAGGAGGAGGAGGAGCAGAAGATGGAGGCGAGGCCCTCATGCTGCCGGGGGTCGCTGTAGGTCAGCGCGTGCGCCGAGTGCGGAGAGGTGTATAGGTTGGCCACCGGCGGGGCCCGCGGCATCTCCAGGACCTCTGTCCAGGACCGCGCGAATCCTCGTCCTTACGCAAGATTCTCCCCCTCTCTCTCTATGTCTCTCTGTCTCTTTCTTTTTCTGTCTCTTTGTCTGTCTGTCTCTCTCTGACGTGATGACCCTTGCCCGACGCGAGTGAACCAAAGTTCTCTAAAGCGGGTAAACTCGATGATGCACTCTCCAACCGCATGTCGACGACGACCATCACGACCACCTCTTCCTCCTCATCCTCCTTCCATCCAATCCACCTTCCTGTCTGTAGTCTCTCTCTTGTCGGCCTGTCTCTATAACTGAAATATATAGCGCGCGAAACGCACACGCACGCAACCAGAGTGACATCTAGATTACGGCGTATAGCTCAGCTGGGTCGTGTCACCCCTGCGAGTGTGTGTGTGTGTGTGTGCGTGTGTGCGTGTGTGTGTGTGTGTGTGTCTTGCAATTAGCCAGTAGTTGGGGGGATACCAGCAGCGGGTGCGTGAGGCTGAGGCACGGGCCTCACACACACACACATACACGCTCACGCACGCTTCTAACGGTATCCCCAAGGGTTCGTCTAGGGCGTGGCCGGACGGACGCAGACGGCAGCAGCAGCAGCAGCAGCAGCATAGGATGCCTGTTGCCGCCGAACGCCACCTCGCGGCCCCACAAATTGACTCGCTCGGGCCGGGCGCACGGCAGATCATCGTGACGATGTTCATCACCACGGCTGACGCCATCCATCCATCCATCCATCCATCCATCCATCCATCCATCCATCCATCCATCCATCCATCCATCCATCCATCCATCCATTTATCCATCCATCCATCATCCATCCATCCATCCATCCATCCATCCATCCATCCATCCATCCATCCATCCATCCATCCATCCATCCATCAATCCATCAATCCATCAATCCATCAATCCATCCATCCATCCATCCATCCATCCATCCATCCATCCATCCATCCATCCATCCATCCATCCATCCATCCATCACGCCCGTTTTTCTAAGAGCCATCATATTCGGCAACACGTTATAGCTGCAGCAGCCGGCGCCTGCCAGACGCCGGGTAGGCCACCCCGCGGTGCACGCATGCGCTGCAGGCGAGATGTTGCCTACCCACCAGGCGCTATGCGTGCTTGGTCGCGGGATGGACTGGACTTCGCCGGCGAACAGTGACGGACGTTATTTCAGGATTATCCTGATTATCCCACAGACACGTCTGAGATCCCAAAACTACATTAGTTGAACGAGTTGAACACATTTTTTTTTATTTTATTTTTCCTGATCGTGCTCTGCTCTGTGCGCGCCACCCGCCAGCATGGTGGTGTCTCCGTGTGTCCCAGCAGGGAGGGGGACGGGTACTCACCATTGTTTGGCTGCTGGACTGGGTCGGACTGGGACTGGGAGGACCTTGACATTTGCGCCACACCCACGCGCCCGGCCCGGACCCGCCCGAGAGAGAAGTCTTCCCTGTCTCTGTTTGTCTCCCTCCCCCGCTCCACCCCACTTCCCCGCTCTCATCCTCGTAGCTTCCTTATAATGCCGTTACACTTCGCCTCCAAACTTGGTCACTTCTCTCCGCCTCCACAGATGGGGGAGGGAGGTGAAAGGGGGGGGGGGGCAACCGCACCATGCAAACCCGCACCACCACACTGCATCATCGGGCTATACGGACGAGGCGGCAACTTCCGCGTCGCCAACCAACCTTACGCGTCGTCACTTCCCCACCACAGGGTTGGAAATTTCCAAGATTTTCCGGAAAATTTTCGGAAAATTCTCGAAAATTTCCCCAAAAGTGTCGAGGTCTCCGAAATTTCCCATTTATCCCCGAAAATTTTCCTGAAATTTCCCGTATACGTTCCGGGGCTTCGAGCCCCTTTCCTCATCCTCGTGGACCTCGAGCTCCTTGCCGTCGTCGCCCACTCCTTGGCATGCCCGTCATGGTCCTGCGGTGGTGCCGATGCTGGCCGTGTCGAAACGCCCAGAGTCGGCTGGCTGGGACGGCGCGGGCGGGGCGTCCCGTAGGGGGTCACTTGCATCGCAGACAATACGCCCCTTACATAACTCCGCCTTGTTGAAGGGCCCGGGCCCCGTAGCGCCTAGCGCTGCTGCTGCTGCTGCTGCAGCATCACTACAGCAGAATCATCTCGTGCATACTGACTGGAAGAACGTTAAAACACTTTCGATTCCAAAGCAGAATAAGAGTTTTTGTTTTGTACTGTTCCCGCATGGTCTCCCATGCCACGGCGCCTCTGAGATGTGCCGGCACCGTGGACCGTGGTGGTGGTTGTATGGAAACCGTCACTTACTGCACCAACCACTCGCTCCGCTGCACATCCGCTGCAGCTGCAGCGGCTGATGGCACGGGGGGATGTGTGTGTGTGCAAGTGCATCTGGTGCAGATGTAGATGTTTCCCAGGGGCCTGCTGCTTTGCTGAAGCTGATAAGTGTGTGTGCACTTGTGTCAGTGTGAGTGAGTTGGCAGGGCTACCACACGTGCACACACACGCACACACGCACACGCACTCCGAGGGCATGGCCGTGCGTGGCCGCGGCCCCCTGATCTACATACAAGACTGGATTGGGCCCCCTCGCTGTCCGCATTCCGACCTGCTCCGCCCCGTCCGACCCCACCCCACCACGCCCCGGCCCTCCTTGCGAGCCGGTAGGAGGTCGGCGACCTGATGCTGCTTGCTGGACCCCGGCGCCGCTTCTCTCGAGACAAGAGAGAGAGAGAGAGAGAGAGAGAGAGAGAGAGAGAGAGAGAGAGTGCGAGAGAGAGAGAAAAGGAGAGAGAGTGCGTGAGTGTGAGGGGGGGGGACTGTCCCGTGTAGTCGGACCAGCTGGCAGCCATTGATGAGTGGAACAAGAGTTCGACCCACCTCCTCGGGGCGGGGAGCGGGCCCCGGCGAGGCGGCCCACCTGCACCTGCAGGACCACGTCAGCAGGGGGGAAAAGTGTCGAGCGAGCATTGGGAGAGAAAAGTGACCATCTTCTTTTTAAAATCAACTACACGAGGATGGCAGTGACAAAGACTCTCTCATGTTATACTCGCGGCCCATGCCCAGATTTTGGCCCACTCTTCTTGTTCTTCATCTTCTTCCCCCTCTTCTTCTTCCTACTCTTCTTCTCCCTCTTCTTCCTCCTCTTCTTCTTCCCCCTCTTCTTCTTCTTCCCCCTTTTCTTCTTCTTCCCCCTTCTTCTTCCTCCTCTTCTCCTTCCTCCACTTCCTCTTCTTCTTCTTCCTGCCTGCTGCAGTCGACCGAATTCCCGCGCGCGCCGAACACAATCAAACAGTCATCAGGGGCGACTGCATCGTGACCCCTTTCCTTTCCCTGACTTACTCCTCCTCGTCAATCGCTGCCAACTTAAAATGATTTCAAACGGGATCTCATTATTATTATCATTATTATTAGTCCGGGAAGTGGACTGCATATTTAAACTGAAGAGCTCGTCCGGTTTGTCGCGATTTCTGACAAAGACTCTTCACTGTGATCGTGTCAGAATACACAGAATAGATTGAGACATAATTATCGCGTTATTTTTTACATAAAAATAATATGAATCAGATTCACCGTAGTTTTGTAACAATAATATAAATCAGAGGTAGTTTTTTTTCTCTACTTCCTGCCCTATTTCAAAGTTGCACCGCATGCAGAGTGCTATGCACACACTACTCGGGGTAGCGCACCGCGCGGAACAGATAGCAGCATAGACGGCATAGACATTATCACGACGGTTGGTGCGAGCGCGTATGGTGCATATTATTATTGTTGCTGCGAACAGTTCTGCCAACCGTTGCGTCAGACTTTTGTGCCAGCGTGGCACGCGATGGTCTGGCGGAGGGGATTGGCAATCCTGTGCTGTGTGTGAGAGATCCCCTCTGTCTCGGAGCTCGGCTAGCCGCAGCAGCAGCAGTGGCAGCTGCAGGCAGGCACCCCGTGTGTGGGACCCCACCTCACCTGCGGTCGCCGGGGCATGCAGCCCTGGTGGGAACCTGCCTAAAACCGGCGGCGGTGGCGGTGGTGGTGGTGGCACCCCTGCCGCGCGTGGCGCCGCGCGGGAACGCGGGCAGAGAAAAACATTACCTCTCCAGACCCCCCCTCCTCCTCTCCCCCTCTGCATATTAGAGCATAGACAGAGGCACGTGAGCGGGGTGGGACTAAGAATGATGTGTTAACAGGATTGCCTCTCTCGCTGCCCCCCTTCCCCCTCCCCCTCTCTCTCTCCCCCCCTCTCCCCCTCTCAGCTTAGCCCCGATCGCCGCCCTCTTGGAGTCTCCCCAGCAGCAGCAGCAGCAGCAGCAACTACGTTATAATGAGAACCGGCCATAAAAAGGAAGGCGGGGCGTGGCGCGGCGGGGTGGCGGCGCTGCACAGTGCACAGCCCACCAGCGCAGGCGCCGCAGGTCGTCATACAATGTGTGGTTGTCGTGTTGTTGCAACGGCCGGCGCAGCTGGCTTCTTCACTTAGCCTCACAACAACGTGTTCACAATAATAACAAACAACTGTGGACTATTTTTTCTAAAACTGTTTAATTAACTTTTTGTCTGGTCTTCTTGTTTTTGCAGGGATGCGTGTCATACCTTGGGGTCCAGGCGGCCCCACGCTGCTCGCCAGCGTCATCGGCGCCCTCTTCCTCGTCGTCGGCGGCGTCCACTCTCAGGTAAGGGATGAGGAGGAGGACGAGGACGAGGAAGGGTACGTGCGGGTGACACAACCACGCCCCGCCACGCCCCGCCACGCCCCGCCACGCCCCGCCACGCCCCGCCACGCCCCGCCACGCCCTGTCCTGGGCGTTATGACGAGTGCGGTCCTGGGGCACCAGTCGCTCCTTTGCGGTCGAAGACGCCAGGGGAGGAGGAGAAGGAGGAGGAGGGGGAGGGGATCGTGTCGCAGGTTGCGTGTCCCGGTTCGATTACCCGCGCCGTGACCGGTCGCGGGGAGGCTGCTGCGGCGGCGGCGGCGGCGTCCTGGCACTGCACAACCAGCCCGTGGAGCCTATGATGCCGCTCTCTATGACATAGAGAAAGAAACGCCCCTGATCAGTACTACCTGCAGCCCCCCCCCCCCCCCCATATCCGTACATGGGCGTGAAAAGGGCGGCGCGTGTCCGTGGCGGCTCGTGTGTGTGTGTGTGTGTGTGTGTGTGAGAGAGAGAGAGAGAGAGAGAGAGAGAGAGAGAGAGAGAGACCATACTGCTTCTCTCTCTATATCTGCGCCGGCATATCTCTCTCTGCCTCTGTCTCCCAATCAGATTGGATTTATCGCGCGCGTGTCGCGGCCTTCTGTAGAACATACCTCGACTTGATAATCAGGACAAATCAACTCGGCGTTGTTGGGTGCATATTGGAATGTGACGTACTGACAAAAAATATAGCAGTAGTGCAGTTTTTTGTGTTTTTTTTATTTTTTGTTATTTTTCCTTAAGAAAACTTCCCTTGTGTGTGTTTTGTTTCGTCGCCACTCTGTAAAAAACAAATAACCATACGCGTTCACAATAAAAAAAAATTATGACGTGTAACGTAAAATAACAATTTGAAATTTGTTAATTTTTAACGCAAGAATAATGAGCTGTCGCAAACTTCCGCAAATTTAAAACATATTTTCTTTTAATGAAAATTACAACAAATATTGTTGTAAATTTACGAGGATATGTTTTTTTACGAGGACAGGATTTTTTTTCGGTGTTACGAGAAGTCCCCACTCTGCGTGCGTGCGCGCGGGCGGCTGTGTCACCCTGCGGTACACAGGATGATGGCGGGGTGCACGGGGCTCCGCACACTAAACTGCGCCGCCCTCGCTGCTCAAATATAAACGAGAAGGAGAAAGCATCGATTTCGTGTTGTTCGTGTGCGCAGAGAACTACGTGCGTGAGCGGACCACCGCGCACGACGATGACATAGTGGCTTGTGGCGCGCGGCAGGAAAATCAAGGAAATATTCAGGAATTTTGACATTTTTGTTGGGGAAAAATGTCGGGAAATTAGGGTAAAGTGGCTCATTCAGGTGCGATAATAATTGCTCAGCCACCCGGGAGATGTCGAGCGCCGCAGTAGCGCGCCCATCTCAGGAGGGAATTTTTCTTGAAATGTCAGGAAAAAGCTGTCTGATATTGTCGGGCATATAAGATTTTCAGTCTCGTTTTCATCGCTCTTAATAAGCACAAAACGATCACGTTATATCCCGTAACGCCCCGCCGCGCCTTGCCGCCGCTGCAAACGACGACCACTTTTCCCCCCCGCTCGAGACACTAACTCGTCCGGAGACAACGCCGACAACTGCAGCAACGCTCCTTACGCGACCGATGTCGATAGCAGGACCGGCCTGTCCGGCCGAGTGGACAGCCACTGTCCTCCCCTATAACTGGCACCGGACCGGCGGCATCGACCTGCCGAGGATCGCTATATATATATATATACCTTCCGTGTAACGTTATCCAACAATGACGCGACGAACGTGCGCGCTTTGCCATCGATTCTTCCTTAAAAAAAAAAACCTTTCGATATATATCTAGTTGTATTGTTTTTGTTTGTATTCGCGCAATACTTTGGAATGGTTAGCGCGCAGACCTGCGAAACCTATAACCTTATGCATTCCAGCGATAGCGCACAGACAGACACAAGTCATGGGATGGGCCATGGGACCATAATGGGCGGCCATGGTGCCCCCATACCCAGGTGTCGTATCTTCTTCATTGCACTGTGCAATCATTGTAGTTTTGTAAAAGTTGTTAAGTGGAAAATAATTAATTAACTGTTTAATTTTTTATTTTTTTGCGAAAGAGCATGAATTTTTGCTCACCAAAATATCCTGCTTAAAATATTTCCATAATGATTCATCAAACGAAAGAATTTTATTTTTCATTATTATCATACATCTCTTGCTTTAGCTTCGTGGTAGGATGAGCGGGCAGCAGGCAAATGGCCACCGCACGGCGGGCACTGCACGGCGCACGGCGCCACTGCCAAAGTGACCACGCTTACGCCCCTCCGCGCGCGCGCGGGCGCTTAACCTTAAGGGCGCGCGTTTGTGAGTTGCACAACCTCACGCTGGCGGCCCGAACGAGGCGCCGCGGTCCATATGAAACGTGACGTATCTTCCGTCTCTGTCTTTCTGCCTCCAGCGGGCGAGGTGGGGCGGGGCGAGGCGGGGTGGCGTCCAGCCCAGAGAGGGTTTAGTTTTAGTTCTCCAGGACACGGCCGGCCTCTCCAGGAAAAGAGCCCCCGCCCGCCAAGCTGGAGTTATCATCTCTCTCTCTCTCCCTCTCTTTCTCTCTCCCTCTCTCCCTCCATCTCTCCCACCAGCCTAGATGAGGTGACACACAAGGTGATGAATGAGTGTCCAGGACGTGAATCAGAGAACGGCGCGGGGACCTTCCTGGAGGCCCGCGCGGCTTGGATACCCGCATGAATGCGTCCTGGAGTCGTCCGGCTGTGTGGAGTGTGAGTGAGTGAGTGACTGTGTGTGTGTGTGTGTGTCGAGGAACTTTCTCTTCAAGCTGTGAGAGAGTGTGCACTACCGCGCCCGCCATGAGGCATTCCATGACGCGTCCCCTCCACTCTCCTCCCTCTCCCCCCCTCCCCCTCCCTCCTGCTTGTGCCTCTTAATATCCCTTTGACATTCAATATATAGAGTCGTGGCTCCCAGCGGCTCCCAGCTGCACAGGCCCGCGCGCGTGTGCGCATGCGTGTGCTGGCGCTGCTGCTGCTGTGACGGGGTGACGGGGCCGGAGGGGGGACGTCTTTGGTGTCACAGGCGTGTCACTCGCGGCCATAAACGAGAGAGACGAATCCTTCGCGAGAGAAATCAATCTCCTGGCTCGAGCAGCAAGCAATTGAAACTAATGTTTTTTTTTTGTTTTATTCTTATTTTCGGTTCTGTTATTGTGGTATTAACAAAACACAAAACACGACGTTATGGGTCGCTGCGTCGTGCGAGTGCGTGTGACTGTCACTCGATGCGCTTTTCCAACCTTTCCGACACGGCGCTGCTCCCAGGGCTGTGCGATATCACGATATTTCGATATCGATAACTGTCCGTTTTCGAGGGCTCGATATTCTCATAACGATATCGGCGTATCGGCGTTGCTCGACACCATGACATATCCCGATATGTCGTTTATTTTTAATCATATCGTCCCTCGATAGTGTTCAATATCATCGAGCCGATGTTCCATATACTTGGTCGATATCGCACAACCTGCTCCCATAGCTGCGTGCTCCATGGCCTTGGGATGCGTCGGGGCCGATGGACCGCGGGAAGTCCACGCGTGTGTGCAGCGATTTGCAAGTCGATTGTCCCTTCGACTCGTGTCCCCGAGGCAGATGCGCGAGAGAGGCGAGGGGCCTTGGGATTTGACCTTTCTCTCGCTCTCACTCTTACTCGCACCACGCTCCTGTCTGTTTTACTTTTCAAATCCGCGACCGCCATGGTCACGGCGATGAGCACGACAGTCGTACGTAGTCTCTCTCTCTCTCTCTCCCTCTGTCTCTCTCTCTCCTCTGTCTCTAGCTGCATACTCTAGCGCCTCTGCTACCAAGGGACAATAGTATTCAACACTACGAACACCTCATATCCCATTTATATATGCTATGTATATAAAGGCTCCGAACGTGAACCACGCGCTATATCTGTCGTGTGAGCCCCACGGGCTCAGGGTGTGTGTTTTTCTGCAGTCATTGTTTTTGTTTGCCGCGGTCACGGCACGATTGTCTTTGAGGTCTGCTCCGCTCTGCGCTCACCTTTTTTCATTGTAGAGAGGAATTTACTTTTAATATATTTACTAGAGAGTCACCCCTTTCTAGAAGTGACAACGAAGATGCACGTTTTCTGACGACAGAGACGATTTTTCAAAAAAATATCCCATTTATGAAAACAGGATCCATTTCTCCCCATGTACTTATCTGACAATTATAATCGTCGGACCCAGAATTTTTTTTATTTATTTTTTTGCTCTATATATTTTGAAAGCAGCAGTTGGTAACGGCATGTTTTTTATGTTGTTTTTTTTTTGTTTTTGCCAGCAACTGCTGCTTGGAATATAAAAGAGCCCAAAGAAAAAAAAATCTGATGGATATCTGAGACGCGATCGAAAATTGGTCAGGTGCGGGTGGAAAAATAGGAAACATGGAGCCTGTTTGCATGGATGGGACAGACTCCCTCGCCCCGCCTTGCCGCGGGTCCCACGGCCCTGCAGCCCGCGGCGGCTGAGGAGGCTGGGCGGTTATGGCCTTCATGACCGTGGCCAGACCCGGCCTGCGCGCCTGCCCAGCCGACCGGAGCGGGTCGCGCTGCTCACCGCCGCCTCGCCTCTCCAACGCCCAGCAGGGCACCAGGCCGAAAACACCCCCACTGCTAAAAAGATACCGTCGTTAATTTTCATTTCTTGTTTTTGTATTATTTACGTGCAAAATGTTATGAAATTTTACGGCATAACCCATTCTTGCAGAATTCCAAGTCGATACGTATAGTATTTGTCATTTTACTGTTTTCAATTACAGTTGTTACAACGCACTTCATGGAAAAAGTTTCTGTTGCCAATAGTATTTCTCACAGTGCCTTGCGAAATATTTCCTTATTCGTATTGCCAAGAAAATCGTCCGCAAGGAAC